TCAGATGCTTGTATTCGTCTTAAGGCGACAAACTACAAGCATATTTGACTAACTTTTTATCACAAATTCAGCATCAGGGGAGCCATTGATATCGAAATGTAAAATAAAGTTCATTCAATTATAATTTTTATAATTATTAAAATTATATTTTTATGTTTAAAGTTTAAAGCGTACTGTAATTATTTTCTCACTAGGATTTATTTTGTTATTCACTAAAACCTATTTTAAAATGAAAATACCACTGACCCAAAACATATTTTTGAGACACACAGTTTGGTTGATTTTAACCCTCAGCCAAAAAACGTTTGCCGAAGCCCGGACTTTTATTGTCCTTCGTATAGTCCTTTTACCTTTCACTCAATTTGAATGGATCCTTTAATTCAATTTTTGCATGCCCACTTGTTCTTTTTCGCCAGAGATTTGATAGACGTACATGAGATGAATGGTTTCGTGCAATGCAATATACAAAGCACTTTTATTACAAAATGTATAGTATTCATAAAGCACATTTGTAACAAAATTTGTAATGCATAAAGCACATTTATTTCAAAATCTATAATATATAAAGCGCATTTATTACAAAAGTTTTTTTGAGGTTCTAAATTTAATAACAAATAAAATGCATAATAGCTGATAAAACATAAAATTTTGAGTTAATTTGTTTGATATAAAAATGAGTTGAGCATAAATGCTGAGAATTTTTAAAAGTTGATGTCAAAGTAAATGAAATCTTTTCGAAAGAAGTTATTTGATGTATTATCAAAATACTTTAAGACGCGTAAACAAACAAAACTCTCTAACAAAAGAAAATGTTTCATTAATATTGACTTACAGGTGTTAGGAAACAAATATTTGCGGAATTTTTAAAACATTTTTGCTGAAATTTCATTTTTTATTTATTTTTCAACAAAAAAACTGAATTACTGGGATACTTCCACACGTTTTCTTAGTCTTTAGGACTGCGATGGCTGCTTTATTCTTTCATGAAGCAACACGCGGGAAAATAAAGGAAGTAAAAATGTTATTTCTTTTTATGAATACTCAGTAATATTAATAATATTAGCTCATAAGATGTTGAAAAAATATCTGATGTGATCCTGAAGATTCCATGCTATAAATAACAACGAGCTTTAAGTAAAGTGATGATATTTTACTTAAGCTCGTTACTTTTTAAAGGACTGGATTATGAGATCGTTTTTAAACAATGTCTAATATGTTTAAATATTTTAAGTCTGAGTGTTAATTATAACCAATACACCTTTTTATTATTTTCTTCTCTCTTATAATGATAACTATCCGTGTTGATACACACACCTGTTCTCATGCTTCCATTTGAAAACATTGCATCGATCGAAAATCTCATGATACTTTGGCCATACAGTGACAACTTTTGTGATTGTTAAGTCATCCATAAATCAATGACTTAACAATCACAAAAGTTTTAAAAGCATAGTTTTAGAATTTCCAATAGAGTGTTAAGTGTTGCCAAACATATTTTCTACTTTTTTCTCAGTTCATGATATCAATGTTCAGTTTTTTTTAAAAAATAGAATGGCAGTTTTTCTCCGTTTAGCTTTATTTATCAAACATCATTTTCTTCACTCATACTACACGTAAAATTTTGTAACACAATTACAAAATCTTGAAAAGCAGCATATCATTAGAATTCTCAATACAATACTAAGTGTTGCTATTTATATTTTTTACTATCATTATAGTATTTATATCTATATATCTTTTAAATAAATAAATATAGTAAAATATATAAGGATTTAGAGAATTAAATGGGCAGGATACCTGTTCAGAATGGATGAAAATCGAGTAACTAAAAAAATCTTCTCGGCCAGACCATTCGGCACCCGAAAAAGAGGGAAACCTAAACTTAGGTGGCTTAACTGTTTAGAAACAGACTTAAAAATTTTAAAAATAACCAATTGCGTCCATGGATTGGGATAGAAGAGCTTAGAATTCGATTCTGAGGAAGGCAAGGGCCCTACCTGGGCTGTCTGGCCATTGAAGAAGAATAATAGTATCTATATTTACTATATTATTTCTTTAAAAGAAATGCATAGTAATAACATTTGACATTAACACATACAAATTTTAATGTATTATTTTCTTCATAAATATTTGATATGATTTCTTCCATATTACGTCACATATCTATGCATCAATAAACAATTAATTCACAACAAGTTTTGCGTAATCATTGCGATTTTGATTATGCCTAGAAATTATGCCGGTGCATCTTGAGCTATCGATCCCTAGTCGACGCCTTGATCATCACTGACACCATTTCAAATTTTTGACTGATAGCCTTTAATAATTTCATCATATTGGCTCAAGGATTCAATACTATCCCGTTGGGAACCCCTGGTCTAAATCAATGAAACTTAAATTTCTGTAAACGTATGTTAAAATATATTTTAGAGCAGAGAATAATTTGGAAACGTTTTATTAAAAACTGAGCAAAATTGCATGTTTCACTAAACGATTCATAAAATTATACGTAAGGAATTACTTGCATTATTTTAAATTAATTAGTTAATGAACAATTAATTAGTTCTCAGTGTCAGAAGTCAGAAGTAAGGCAGTTCAAAGATTGAAACAATTTCAAATACATAGATTTTTATGTGATTATGATTTCAGAAACAGATACATCGATCCGTCGGTTATAATAAAAAAATCCAGTGATACTAATCCAGTTTGATTAGGCTTAGGTTAGGCCCTGAGATCGAAAACAAAAATCGTAATTGAAGTTGAAAACATTACTTTTAAATTCCATAATAGGCATTTTAAAGTCATTAGGTTACGTTGAAAAATTGGTGACATGAAAACGGAGCTATGTCCTCGTCGGCTGAATCTGGACCACTCAAATACGCGCCGACTGTGCTACCGTTACACCACGAACGCAAGTTGGAAGGAGGGAGAAAAATATACTCCCCCTTTTAATCGGTGATTCGTAAATACGGGACGCAGTAGCAAAATCTTGGTGATGACGAATTTTTGTCTAACACCTTTTAAAGTTCCGACGTCACGTTAGAGCCAAGAGGCTACTTTGAAGCAAAAGACGTGAAAAATATTCAGTGCCCTTTCCAGGACTCGAGCTCAGGACTTCTGGAATACTCGTCGAGTATGCTTCCAATTACACAACGAAGGCATGCTGGAAGGATGGAGAAAATATCTTATAGCATATAATGTCCGAAAAAAAAAACCAATAACACGTACCATAGCGGCAAAGTTTATCATATTAATACAGAAATAACTAATAAATTTCTATGCTCTTTCTACATGCCTTTTATTTTTTTAAAAAACGTGTTTTTATAGACATTTACAGAACCTTTGCATTCTGTTATCCTCAGCAAATGCAAAACTTTTATCAGTAATCTACATTTATAACTTCTGAAAAATCATCGCAAACTGTAATCTTTGCTGAAGCAAAATTTGAAATTCTAAAGAATATGTGCCAAGACATCAGCGTAAAAAAATAAAAATAGAATTCATAATAGCAGAACTTTATCCTGGAAAGTTAGGATTGTATCTTCAGGCATTCTTGCCTTTTTTCGGCGCAGCAACGCTACTCTGTTTCATTCATCAGTGGCCAAAGGGCACATAATACGATTTCAAATAAAATTTTGTTCCTATTACTTGAATTACCTAATCTTTTGTTATGTATTCTCGAAAAGTTTTGTGCATGAGCATATTTATTTTATGTCCATCATAAATTATTCATTTTATTGTGCAAGTACACTTACCCCTCATAAATAGTTAAATTCCAAAGAAGTAAGACATAATTCCTAATACTTATCTAGCAGGAGAATTAGTAGCAATCTTACTCTTAGTCATCGATGAATATTATGCACTCATCTGAAAGTACTGAGAAAATCGAAAATATCGATATCGATAATCGATATCCTGTTATTAAAAGATAATATTTTTATCAGTATAGATTTAATTTTTATTTATTTTGTTTGTTCAATATTATATCTGGTCAAGTACTGAGGGAATAGTATGGATTTTAATACAAGAATTTACAGCCCACAATTCATGAAATATTGTTTAATTCAGAATTATTATTAATCCTTCCAAATGGTAAGATTTTATTCGAATTGGATACCAAATAATAAATGAAAATTTGATAAAAATATAGTATCTAATTTTAATTTTCACTAACGCTTATTCTGTAATTTAGCATTTCATGTATTATTTTCTCAAATAAATTAATGGCATCAATTATTATACAGTTAATCTTGGATAGTAAAATTATTCTTGGGACTGATTTAAACTAGTAAGTATTCAAAAGAATTAAAATATTGAAACTGATGTTTAACATTTTCTGAATACATTCACAATTTTTATCTAGGAACAGGAAGAAATATTTCATTTATTTATATATAATTTTGCCGTTGATTCCCATTTGATTACACAAGAGCAACATTAAGAAAATTTCTGAAAACTCGATTTTTAATAGTTTTTGGGGGTTTAAACCAATGCCGACTTGGGTTTATAGCGATTGCCGAGCGCTGACTACTAGTAAGAAACTACTAATTCTTTTGCTGGTGCAGTATCGGTCTCGCCCTCACGCACACCTTGAACAACGTTCTCCGTGATGGGACGCGTAATGGCAGACCGCACATTGAGTTGATAGTGTTAAGCGAATTTCGCTTACTGCGCATGCTTGATGGTGTACATTTGGCGCGGGGAGAAATATTGGCGAGTAAGCAACCCTACATTAGCTTATTCGTGATGTCCGTTGCTGTCCAGTCTGGTTCAGTGATGTTTACAATTGCAATATTATTGAACTTTGTTTACTCGTTATTTTAACGTCCTTATTGATTGAATTTGCTTTTTTTATGAATATATCTTTCATTTTAATTTAGGCTAATTTTGCTGAATTTGCATTTAATATTTGTTAACATATGTTCGTAATAATTCATTATTTAGTTTTAATTTGTTTACATGTTATATTTCAGTAATGTAAACTGGATTTTCTCTCCTAGTTTGGTAATGTATGTTGGCGGTTTTTTTTTTTTTTTTTTTTATTTCAAAGAATTAAGTAAACAGCATTAAGTAACTGTAAAATTCTTCAGTGTTATTTACAAACACTTGCTATATTCCTCTGAAGGAAACAAATCATTCCTTAAAACTTTTTTCTTAATGTTACAAATATATAGAAATTTAGGAAATTTAATAAGGAGCAGAAAATTTTGGGAAGGACAATAAGATTGTGTTCTTTAATACCTACAGTTGCACAAGATACTCTAGGAAGCAAGAAAATAGTTGTATTCGGTTTTCAAACTATCTATAATTTTCCAAAACTTGTATAAGTGAAAAGCTCTTGAAAACTGCATGGTTTTTGCTACAAAAAAATAATAATAAGAGGTGCTCAAATATTATCGCAATCCCCTTGTCCCAGTTTGGCGATATTTTACAAAAGATAAAGAAGATGACTTATAATAATTTGTGATTTTTATATATTATATGCATATTTTGTGTTTTATTTATATATATTAATTCAAAAAATCAATCAATATACCTATATACAAGAGTAATTTTCCCTAACCAGTGGAAATTACTTGGTGATCGCTTTCGGAATTTCAAAATAGTCAAAGCAATGGTTTCCTTTAGAAATTTGGCAGTAAATGCTATATTACTTAATTTCTTCCAAGGCAAGCAAATCTCATATGTCTTCATCATATAATTAAAATTAAGTTTATTAAATATATGACATGATTTGTTTGTCAAAAAGCATTGGTACTTCAACTGAAACAAACGAATACACAGAAATATAAGAATATAGCTTTCTAAAACTGAAAATTTGCCATTTACATAATTGCCAGAACTTGCCGCATTCTGAAAATTTGGCGACTTCTTATTAGTTATGCTAATACGTAATTACATAAGAGAGAAAGTAAATTATCAAACTTAGAAATGATGTACCACTTGGGAAAGTACTAATAAGATAATAGTTCAAGCTAAAAATGACGTGCTTTAAATGGAATTCTTTCGTAGCTAATATTAATAATAAAATGTATAATAAAAATAAAATAAATGCTTGAGATATTTTGAATCTTGGAAAAACACGAAGGGATCAATTTAGCGCTGCTTTATCAGGCTTATGGCTAAATGAAACTTAACATTATAGTTGCATGTTAAATTTTCATTTAATTGATAAAATAATGATCTAGAACATATTAATGAAAATGCAAAAGTTTTGGTAACTTGTGTCTTTTCTTTTAGGTCGGGAACATGTGGTGTCTGGAAAAGTCGGCGATTCCGTTGTTCTTCCTTGCGAGGTTGATTCTCACAATTGTGGCCGAATTTATGTAATCACATGGACCAAACACGTAGGTGATGAATGGCTCCGAGTTTACCTGTACAGTGATACACATTCTAAACCCATGGGCTCTCTGGCTGGAAGAGCCCATTTTATGCTTCATAATAATTCAAATGCTGAAATGCACTTGAGATCTTTGAATGTGTCGGACGAAGGTACTTATAAGTGTGACGTTACGTATGTTCACGGAAAATGCCCTTCTCTCACTTTCACGAAACTCTACACATTAAGTAAGTACTTAGAACTTATTCTTAAATAAGTATATGCTTGTATCCTAAAATTAAGTCTTCAGAGTCTTTATTTAAATTTTATTTTTCAGTAGATATAGAAGAGTAGATTATATAACAAATTACACGTTTCAAAGTTATAATACATTTTCACTGATTTTAAGGTATAAGGTCATTGAATTTAAGGTGCAGTTGAGAGCTTAGAATTCCACGAATTCGATGGTGTAATTCAAAAAACAAAAACAGATTCAATTTACAGTATTCAAATTTAAGGAATATCTTAACAATTCAATTATTTATAATATCATAAGCATGGTATGTTAAATTTAAAATAGTATTAATAAAATAGATATTTCATTATGAATAGTGTGATAGAATATTTCATTTACTAAGTTCGAAATTTAACAAACTCTAGATGTTCAGTTGATAATATGAACCTAGTATATACCTCCTAGAAAAAATCAGATGATTAAAATATAATCTTAAATGTTATAAACCTTTTATTATTTTTAATAATCTTTTATTACTTTAAAATTTATATTATACTTCAGTAATTTCAAATCTAAGATAAATATCCAAAAGAAATTAAGTGCATTGTTTTAAATTATCAGGCATAATTTACGCACAAAAACGGCAGCAAAATAAATAAATGTTTAGAAGAGCATTAGTTGCATTTGTTGCATTAGTTGCACACTCCCCTTTTAAAGGGTGACTGGAGTTATTATAGGACCCAGTCGCCAAATCCTGGGTGAGGAGAATCATCATCCAGCACACTTTTTGTCAAAAATCAGTCCAAATCGATTTTGCAGTTTCACGCAGGTTTCACAAATAAACCACTTTGTTTTCACGGTAGTTTGTTTTAACTACAATGGGATTAAGGATATACAGTGGCCTCGACGTAATTTATAGATTTCCACTTTAAAGTTATACAGCCCCGTTCTCTTTGGTAAAATAAACTACGAGAACTCTGCATAAGATTTCAGCGACTTGTCACTATGTTTTTTTTTTTTTTTTAGAAATTACCACAAAGACTGTTAAGAAAGAAAAGAACCCTTTTATTTAACTCAAATCAAGTTAACAGAAGGCACCCCTCGTACTTACAGAGTCAGCCATCATCTATGGCGCAAATTAACAAAATCAACAAATAAGAGAAGTGAAATTAGAACTAAGTCAATGGTAAGTTAGCCGAAAAGACAAAATATGCGCAAGCTGGGTAAAAAACCTAATGTCGGTATCACAAACCTAATGGCGAGAGTAACGCAACGCGGTAGGTAAACTACTATCAAAATAATAAAGTAACAAACGTGGCCTTTATTCGGAACACACTCTACATCTACCATCTAAAACCTTCCTTTAAATATGATATCTTTTATACCTCATTTGAATACTTGCGAAATGAAAATTAGCATTTTGGAAGAAAAATGGTAAGCGAAAAAGATAGTAAAGGCAATTAACATAAAATAACTGCTTAATAAAACTAAATAAATTCTTACAACCTGTAATAAAATGATAAAATATTATTTGAAATGCCATAAAAGGATTTTAAGTTCATGAGCGGACAAATAAACAAATTTACAAAGTTCCGGAAAAGAAACATTCTTTTTGTGATTTAATCCATTGTTTCTAGCAGCTGCTGTACTATATGGTTCTAAAATGCGTTATAACGAGAAACCAAATAAAATTAAAATTAAATCGCACATAGAACCTATTAAAATGTCACAGAAGAATATATTAAAATGATTAGTTGGTACAGAAACTGATGAAAGCTTTTTACGCGACGCTAGCCTAAACTTTTAACAGCCAAAGACATGATTATGAAGAATGCCTGAGCATTGATCAAATAAATTTTCCATAATTTGCCAGAAATTAGCTCATCTCTAGAATTTACTTTCAAGTATACACAGAAATTGACAATTCTGAAATACTTTTATCTACAAGATTAGAAGCAAGAGGATAATAATAGGAGCTGACAAACCTCTTATTGTTTTATAACTATTCTTGTTCGAATTGCAAATAAACACCAAGGCATTTCAGGAAGGAAGTTTAGTTGTGCTATTTGGAAAAAAAAATGTTTGCTCACTGTGATATATTAAAATGATATTTTTATGGTTTTAAATGTTAAAATAGTTGTGTATTTATCCAAAATACATCTGAAACATAACTATAATCTATCAAAACTCCGCAATAAAAATTTTCGTTTTTAATGTCACTAATAACAGTTGTAGAGACATTATTTTTAGGAAGCAGGAAAGATGAAAAATTAACAACGCCTTCGCCGGGAATCGAACCACGGACCTCTGGAATACCGGCCCAGCGTGCAGAAACACTATACCACGAAGGCATTCTAGGAACGCAGGAGAAATACCTTATATAATCCCCTTTTAAAGGGTTACTGGAGTTATTATAGGACCCAGTCGCCAAATCCTGGGTGAGAAGAATCATCATCCAGCACACTTTTTGTTTGGGCGCCACTGTAGAGACATTAGGTTATTTTTAGCAAGCAGGAAAGATTAAAAATTAACAACGCCTTCGCTGGGAATCGAACCACGGGCCTCTGGAATACCGGCCCAGCGTGCAGAACCACTACACCACGAAGGCGGGAGAAATACCTTATACAGTTATTAAGCTGATGTAAAATTCAAATACGAAATCTAAAACTGTTGAGGCTCCTTTTACATGGCATTCCGTCTGCGCAATATTTGTCAGATATATAAAATATGTATAAAACTGTAGTAGAATGCTCTTCAAACCAGATACTATTTATTGAACGCTAAAAAAACTTATATGTTTGTTTAAAACAAAATATTGTCAAGTTTAAGTGATTGCTTTTGTAGCGATGGTGTGTATATGCGCCATTTTAGCGCAAATGCACGCTAATTATTACTTTCCTTTGAGGCATGGTATGGATAATCATGTTAATGCATTTCAACTTGCTATCCCTGAATTATATAGGTTTATTAAGTATAAAGCGACTATCCTGTCTCATGGATAATAATATCATTACGCATGTATGCTATAATTTTACGAGTTGCATTTAACTATCCAGCAGTCTCTGGGATTAGTGCAAGCAGCAACTCGCGTATCTGCTAAAGTTTCACCGAATAATGAACTTACGAAAATGCTAAGACATTACTATTTACAATAACTATTAAATAAGTATGGATATCTACACAAATCAGATTATCATTTGCTAACGTTGTGTTTACGTAAAATGTATCGCATCTTTTAATCGAAACTATAGTATTCATTACTTAATAGATTACATTTTACGTACAATTCTACGTTATACATTGCATTATTTGAAAATTTGTTTTAATATAATATGTTCGTAACATTCGCTGGCTAAGAGAGCTGTCTTTTTTAATTTATTCTAGACTAACTTCAAAATATTTTTAGTTAAAAATGCTAGAGTGGCTTCTTAGATCAAACCACAGCCAGATAAGATTTCGCAATAATAAGTTACTATGTTCCGACTTCAATAACAGCTTATTCTTTGAAATATTTGCTAGCATTCTAGATAGTTGTTTCTTGCCTACACGTAAATCAAGAAGGGTGCTGAAACGCCAAATTGCATTTTCAAAAGAATTACAAGAAGCTCCTTATATTAGTATTTACCACACGGAACAGTAAAACGCTAGGAAAATGTAATATTATTACTTATAAATTTCAGTTTTCTACCTGCCTGGTTCTCTCTGTAATTTCCCGATGCTATTTATCTAAATATTTCTGTTTTCTTCAAAACATACCGGAAATTTTCCTATTGCGGTTTGAAGTTGAAAGCAATATTTATTTCTCTCGGATGAATAAGTTTTGAATTCGAGAAGAATATTGAAATATTGATCTTTCGGCAGAATAAAAGAAGAATGAAATGTCTATGCTGCATCTTGTTCTACTGAATTTTGTGATACTGCTTTTGTTCTTTATATATTCTATATTTTAAAAATATACTTGAATACACTTTAAGCCGTATGTTACATGTATTTACATGTTATGATACAATTCTGCGCAATAACGTTAATCGGTATGCACCATAACCAGGAAAAGGTATTATAACAAAAGCTGTTTCTAACTACCTTTATGTCTGACACATTTAGAAGCTATTCGAAACTCTAGATGTCCTGTAATTAATAGTAACCTTTCCTCACTTTCAAATTTTAATTAATGGGAAAATACCGTTTGAAATCTTATCAGAATCCTGTCTCTTTTTTAATGATCAATATCCCTTCTTGGTGTTTTCTAACTTTACCTTCATAATTCCTTCAAATAAAAAGAGCTGAATTACATTCTTCCATGCATATTATACTGAAATCTACTTGGTTAGTCGATATATTTTGCAAAAGTTACAAATGAAAAATTAATAACTGCAGTGAAAAGAAACTGTCAAGCTGTAGGGTTTATCATGCGTTTCTAACAGTTAATTTTAATTAAAGCTATTTTCTTTTCTTTCCTAAATTCAGCTTACAATTGCCTACCAGAATGTGTTTATAGAATCGCGTTTAATATAAATGATAAGTCCCGCTGACTTCGGGAGAGAGCCTAAGAGTTTCTGATTAGCGCGTGTTCACCTTTTGGCTACGTCTCTCTCCAAGCTGTTACTACACTCGGCATTATTACATTCCCTTCGCTAGCTTATTCAATATTTAGGGACCAAATTTAGAATTTTAATAGCTTCGGCTATATCTCTTTAGTTAAGCATTGGTTAAGTCTTAGCTCTTATTATTTTGAGTTCAAGCCCAAGTGCAGGCTTTCTCTGTACACCCTGTGAAAGGTGCCGACTGTTTAACTCTTATTTTGAGAAAAAAGGGTAATTAACCCTTCTTCAGTTTACGTCTCTATTCCTGAACTAAAGCGATTATTCGCTTATTTGTTCACGAGGTTCCTATACATTTAGCTGTTACATGAAAGGGTGGAACTCCACAAGGTGTAGTGATGTTCTAAGATTTTACTTCCAATACATTAGCACGCAGTTTGAGTATTTTTTCAAAAGAATTACAACAAGCTTT